TCTTCTCTCTCGACTGACGGGTGAGCTCTTGTGATATGGACCAACGAACAAGACGTGGATGAGTTATGGGATGTTCAAACGGATAGTCGAAAGCAAAAATGTAGCATATGCCCGAGGTTCGCGGGATCACTTTCCTATGGATCAACCAGACATCTACACACCAAAAGGAGGCAAACCTTTGATTGGTTGGCACCTCGTGCTGGCTTGCTTGCAGTAACCACTTACATAGCGGGCAGCAGCTTTGCAACAAGCATCCTTGCAACCATCAGCCGGAGCCAGAAGTCACAGGTACTTGCCCTGTACTCGCTTGAAACTTTGTGGAGAGTTGATTTGCGCATGCATGATTTGAGACGTTGTGTGCTTTCTGCTGCGGCTGCGGATAGCTGGGCTGCACTGTATTGCAAAAGCCTGTAACGGGATTACTTGTTTGCATAATTTGAACACTTTTGGCTATTGATCCCCTATTGCTTAAAAGGCATTCCGTGCACACGCTGTGCTTTTGCTGCCAGCCTGCCAGTTGAGTTGGCAAGCACTGCGGCAGATCTCCTGCCCAGGATGGGCTTACCCTGTCCTGGTTGTTGGGTTGCGGAGCCACTTGCAAGCCTGCCACATGTCAGTTAGAGAGAGAGAGAGAGAGAGAGAAGAAAAAGTGAAAGCAGGACGAAAGACTGAGCGGGAGAGAGCATTGCTCTTGACCAGTGCCTTTCTCATGGCACTGTTACTTGAGCCCGTGAACAACACCACTGGCAACCATCCGGCACACACACACACACACGTGCAGAGACACATGGTGGGAATCCCAGATTCAGGAAGCTCGGCGCAAAAAGTGACTAGCCTGGCACAGATTGGTTGGAGTATCAACCCAGAAAGCAACGCTGGAGGTTTCTACTCGGATGTTTGACGGGTTGGACTTTCAGAGCTCTAAAAAGGAGAAGGGTTTCGCAAAAGCAGGGCCTACTAATTGGCATGAGGGTCGCTTATCCTGTACGTCAGCCACAGCTTGAGATACAGTAGCAATAGAACACCTTGGGAATGCCAACAAGAGCCAAAGCGCGGACAAACATCGCTTGCGAATCCGGATACGGGAGAGCCCGCAAGCCAGACCGATGACTTGTCAGGAACAACGAAACCCTCAACGCAGACAACGGCACTCTCACCTCCGGAACACAGGCCGTTTGCTGAAATGTAACAGAACTGCAGCAAGGCCTGACGAACCCACTTGCTTCGACAAACCAGAAGTGCGATGGGTGGCTGAACTCTAAGATTTTCTCCATGCAGCCGTTTCAAGTCTGCTTTCGGTGGAAATGGGCAACGAATGCCGGGGGTACTATTCTTGCGACAGTTGGGGCCAAAAGCGTTGTCCGGGGCTGGGTTCATCCGCCACGATCCAACAATGGAAGGCAAATTTAGGCGTGGGCGTGGACGTGATAGTGTTCCAAACTTCGTAGATCATTTTCACCACTGGCTTATTCTTGTGGTCCCCATCCAATGCAGTCTCAAGCTTTAGGACACGTGGCTCAGGCAATCCCTGGCAGAGGATGGAGATCCTGAGGTCGCGGTTTGGGAGCTCAGGAAGGGCAAGTGGCAGCGGACCTCAAAATGGTAAGGGGAGAGGATTCGCACTGAGACAAGTCCTGGTTTTGAGAAACAATGGCAATCTTCCACGACGTGGGGTTGAAGGAACTCGCCTTGAATGGCGGTAAGGCAACCTACAAGTTCCGCGCTCCTGTCATTCATTGGGCGTGCTTGAGACACTGACCAGATTTGTGACTGGCATAGGGTCCAGAAGGCCAAGGATTTCGGCGCCCTCCCCAACGCCGCAGTGCTTTGGTTTCCTCGTACTCTCAGCTTTTAGGATAGCTTCAAATTGGGTTGGATAGGTTTGAAGCATTTTGAAGCCATGCATTTTCCCTGCAATCCAGTGATCCACGCCCAGGCCGAGAGTCCAGAAACTGCGCCGCTTGCGGCTCAGTGACGTGCCTGCGTGAACTTGTATGCGCGGCAGGAGTCGAAATGAAGCAGGAAGTGTGTCTTAGGCATTCTCAAGCAGAGTTCCAGCGTATTTAAGCATGATAGCCAGGCTCCCATTGAGTTCCTTCGTTTGACCTTTGGGCATTTCGGTGGTCCGGTTCAAGGGTAAGTCAGGGCCCAAGCAAATAACTTTGTCATTGTCCTTATTTGGACAGCATGGCTGTGTCCTGAAGATGCCTAAAGATGCGGAACTCTGGGTGTATGTCCCTTGCAACAACAACATCCAGGAAAGGCCCCTTACACGACCACGACCATCAATAGCCCTCTCCCAGGCTGATGCCTGACACTGGGGCCTGCCCGGCAAGTTTGGTTCTTTTTCCGCCGCGATTGCAGGCCAATGGCTTTGGCTTAGAGATGAACATGATTGTGTGCAAAGCGGCCCGCCTTTTCCTCTCGTGTTAGAACGAACCCCCCTTGAAGTCGACCATTTCGCGAAAGCTCAAGTTGAACAAACTATGCTTGACTCGTTGCCATGCAGTCGGATGCAGTCGGATGCGCTGGCTCATGGTGGCTTGTTTGTTTGATGGCCTTCTGAACTCGGGTGCGGTTGGAACCCGATCGCGCCAAATTTGGTGTGAGCGAGGTTGAACGACTAGCAATTAGTAGCTTCGCGTCTTCAGCCTGATAATGAATTGTTGGAAGAACCTGTTGCAACTCTATATAAGTTGATCAAGACTGCCACATTTGCGCAAAGGCATGCCCGGTTGCATGCGCGGCTCCATATTGCACGCTGGCACATGGACCCGACGCCTACCGTATCTTCTCAAAGAGACCACATGCCAAAGGAGAGAAAGCCAGAACCGAAAGAAAGCAAGCCACATGCCGTGAGCACCTCAAAAAGGCACGTGAGGAGTGGGCCTTGACTGTCAAAGCTTGCGAGGCTCACATGTGTTGCCATCCCAACCAGTGTCCCTGGTGGGTTGGTTGTTAGACATAGAGTGCTTCCACTGGTTTAGTTTGGTTGTTTGCCTCATACCAGGGAAAGCCATCTATTTGTCGTAGTTTGTACATATTGCCAGTTGCAAAGTTTACATTCCTAGCTCAAGTGGGGAAAAAGACAAGCTTACCCCACAAAGTGGGCCACTTTTCCCACGGTGGTCTTGTGTCAGGTCTTGGACATGTTTTAGAACGCATCTTGACCGACTGTTGAGCCAAGCACGGCCTACACCTATATGCAACAGGAAAATAGTCGATTTGCTTGGAAAGGATGTATGACGACCCAAATCGAAAAAAATAAGGGCATCTCGTCCCACTTTCATTTTGACGTTTGGGAAGAAAGACATCGGTTCACAGAGGTCATCACTTGCGCTTTAGATCCGCATTGGAGGGTTCCTATTGGGAACCATTCGCATGCCCATGTGAGGAGAATTCCAGCAAGGCACCTGTCCAGGAACAGACTCCTGTTGTCAATGACCATCTTAGTTGCGTTTAGTCCAAGATCCCATCATCCATGATGGACACCCCTATTAATATAACGGGTTTATTCATCCTCCGACATTCCTCCGACGTTACCCATCCCAGTGGTTCAGTGGCACCCTGTGTCCCTTTTTGGTGGGTTCCACTCTTATGTTCAGTCAACCCCAAAAAGAGTTTCCTGTTTCTACCGTCCGGGTCACGGGACTGACGCGTGCGCTGCCTTCAACCTGTCAGGGCCCTCCTGAAGAAATCCCAGAAGGCAAGCCGCTCCGAAACAGAGTTTGCAGGATTGGGCAATATGCTTTGCAACACCCAGTTGCTGGCGACCTTTAACGGAAGTCATAGGCAGGTTATGGCAGGTTGCTTAGATAGCGGAGGTTCAAACATGTTTGAACTGGCTTGGCCCGACCGATTTGCATGCGGCAATTGCAGTCTGAGAGGATCGGGACCGGATGCTTGGCTTGTACCCAGAGAACCTCCATTCAAACCGGGTGGATGTGTATGTTGAAGTGGCAGGGATCATCCCAATATCGCCAAGTGGACTAATAAGAATATCCCACTACTTCAGACATGTGGGAGGAAGACTGGGGCTAAGTGTTGCTTCAGAGCTGAACCCTCAGGGCCTCCCTGTCCCTCACCTGCCTTCTCCACTCGAGCTGGAGTACCTTCTCAAGCATCACAGGGGACTGCCTTGAAGAAGCTGTTTCCTTCCAGGCCCCAGTAAGCTGTTTGCGCGTATGTCCAACAGGTTCGACTAACATTCCAAGTGTTGTTCCGTTGCCAGCCCGCTTTTAGCAAGTGCCATCTCACCCGTGCTGGGCGTTTGACGTTGCCAGCCTTCAAATCCTTCAAATTTGGTCTTCAGGGCCTTCCACAAGCAGCAGCCAATTGACTTTGGTGAATTGTGGCCCCTGCTGTGCTTATGCTGAAGTCCCTTTCCGGGGCATTTATTCTTACCTGCCGTCTTCCGGGCCCTGTTTCGGATAGTTTCCTTGTCAGTGTTTGCTGACCATGTTGGCCCTTCCTTTTGATCACAGAGACTAATTCAGCTGTTTGAACGCATCCGCGCAAAGTGCCCATTCTGATGGATTTGCAGTCGGCTGTCTCCTCACAGGAATAGACGAAGGCACATTTGATCTGCCAGTGTCCTGGGCGCATGTCCGCACAGTTGAAGCTTGGACGGTCTTCCAAGTGAAGCTTGGCAAAAGAAGTTGAACTTAAGTATGGTTTTTGCTTTGAACAAACAATGCATGTAGAATTCATGGCTGAACTCCTATATATCCCAAGCAAAAGGCTTTCCAGTGTGCTTTGGCTTTTTCACCTGACAAGAGTGACAGAAGGTTTTTAGGGAGTTTTCACGGACCAGACTGGGGGTCTCAGCTTTGAGTCTGACCGTTTCTGGTCAGAAACATTCCAGAGACCTCCGCTTTAGAAGGCGAGCAAGAGTGACCGCCCCGTGCCAGCTCCGCCGGCTCCAGCTCCGGAGCCCAGGCTGGGCTTCGGTTCCGCGAGACGGCAAGAGGGTTGCAGGATGCGAATGCGTCTCGTGGCAAGGAACTGCAGGGCATCGTGACTCGCAGCCGTTTGGATCACGAGACACTCAAACTCGAAGCCATGGCCAACATGATCGCGGTGGCCTTGGCAGTGCTTGCCGCGGGCAAGTCAAACAAATCCCATGAAGAGACAGGCAGTGCCGCAGCTTGCGTGCTCAGCAAGCCCGTGATGCAGAGCTGTGGGTCGGAGTGCTTCAGCAACAGCGACCTAACATCTTGCTCAGCCGACTGCCTGCAGCAGAAGGGTGAAAGCTTTGTCTGTGCTCAGTGCTATGGTCCCAAGATCCAGTGCTCCATCGAGAAGTGCATGGACAAGTGCAGTGATGAGTTTGACCTCACTGGGGACTGCCAGGTTTGCGTGATGCAGACGTGCAGCTTGCCGCATTTTGTGCGCCAAGCAAGTCTGCACCGGCACCTGGATGCTCCTTTCCTCAAGGAGCTGGTTGCCAAGGCAAAGGCCACTACGTTGTACCCATAGACGCGTGCTTGCTCCAATTTAGTTTGTCTGTCCGGGCTGCATGGCGCATTTACATTAATGCTGTGACCTTTTAGGGACAAACGTAGCCTTGCATTCAGGTATCCATTGGCGGCTGTTAACAGATTCACTTGTTATCTAGACGGAATCTATTGCCACGTGCTGAGAATCCGAACATCCGCCTGGGCAGCTGACAAGCGCAGCTCATTGATTTAGAGTGGCCAAGGGCCCTGCTCTTCACTTCGTCTAGCATTCAGACTATCCGTGGTTTGAAAAGGTCAGCGCGGCCGAAGACGCGAACCGAGAAGGGCATTGCGGAATCACTTCTTTGCGAATGGAATCTACCAATCGCATTCTGAGTAAACGTTTGCAGAGATTGATACTTGATCTTCCTGGATAACATGACAGGTTGTCGCTTATCAGCGTGCTGGGTTTTTCTGCAAGTCTTCACTGCACAGGTGAAGTTTTCATGGCTTAATGCAGCCTCAAGAATCAACCCATTTTGGGGGCTTCATATTAGAGCTAGCTTTTAGGGAAATTGTCCGAGACGTCGAGTTTGTGTCCGTGCAAACAATCCTGTGTGGACGAGATGCTTGGGACAACACCTGCATGTGCACAGACCCTTTGGAAAACAATGCCGACACCTCATTGGGCATAGCCGTCCGGCTTCCTGCTTTGCACGCATTCGGAATTCGCAGAATTCACGGCCCTCCTGATGGCCAGGTGTGTGGAGCGATGCGATCCAGAGTGGGCAGGCAGCGCGGATCTTGGCCAAGATGCAGCAGTTGGTTTCGGGCCCGTTTTTTTGGTTTCACCTGAGCAACTGACAACATGCCATCACCCACACAGAGAGTTTGACTGACATGCGTGCATTTATGATACAGATTGATGGTAGCCGGCATCTACTTGCATTGTAGGGCTCGAGCTGGGCAATGTGAAATCAGAGGCACGCATCAAGAAACAGAGGCCGGGAGATCGAACCACAAACAGAGGCATGTTTTGGGCAGGCCATGGCAGCCAAAGAAGGATATTGTAAACGATTCGGGCGGCCGGAGGTGTGCGGCACGGTCGAAGGTTGCCTGAAGCGGAAGTTCAATGCTCTCCGGCACGAACATGGGAACCCACTCTGCAATTCGTGTTCGATAGTTCCATCAGCACAATTGTGCGCACATAGTATGTTAAATGCGCACGAGCCTCAGCAACATCAAGCTTTATGATCATTCTCGCCGCAGGATACACTCTGTCGGGGGAGTTCCTGGAAATGGCATTTTGGTTTGCGCAGCAACTTCTCGCCGGCCCTAGGTGCCGAGGCTGCCGGTGGCCCTGTCCGAGTCTGAAGCGTGGTTTCAGGGAGCAGATCGATCCTTTGCATGGGTTTGTTGGGGTGCTCTAAGACGACCATTCTGATTTGAGTGGGAGGTAACTAGTTTGTACCGGCTGCCATTGTCGGTAGTAAGAGGGGCAGGCATGATGACACACGTTCCACCTGTGTGCACTGGCTTTGCAAGCATATCCGCAGACCCCAGCGCAATAGCTTTGCTGCCTCCCTACGCCGCTTGAATTTGAAGTTGCTTCACCTAGCGCTTTGCTGGGAGCATGTGCAAAGTGTTTGCACAATTGACCAAATCAAGTCGCTTTGCGCCTTAGTGAGACGACACGCTTCGAGCAAATTTGCAAAAGCCCAACGATTTGATGCTTGCCGGAGCAACCGTGACCAACTAGTTTCCATGCAGCGCGTTCCAAAACCGGAGAAATCAAGAAGCGTAATTGGAATTGAACGCCTTTTTAGGCCTTCGCTGTTCCTGGGCGAGAAAGGGAGAATCTGTTGAAGTTGGTCATGTTTGCTCATTACAGTAATCACTTTGTTTCAGATGGCACCAAAGACCCGATTATTTGGCACTGGGATAGGCATCTTGCACAATCTGTAGCTAGAAAGGAACTATGACCATCGCCCGCAACTGTAGCTTTGACCATGGCACACCGGCGTGCGTAAGATAGGAATGATTGATCAGGCCAAATGAGGACAACGACAACTCCCAGTCAAGAAGCGGACGGGTCGTACTAAAATATGGACCTTTTTTTTGGACCCCTTGTACAGGCCCCACATAAACCATGGCCCAAAAAGGGTACCCATTTTTGACAACCCATCAAATCCTCCGTCCTATTGAGCACCTTGGCTGCGGACACTCCTGCCAAAAGCTGGGGTTTGGTGCCGAGGCACAGCGGCCGCTGCCGCCGCGCAGCTCTGGAGGCGTGCTTGGGAAGGGGGGGGGTTGTCGGGTTTGGGTGGTTCCCTCTTTGGGGGTTCTTGTATTGAACAAAGAAAGCCACTGGCGAAACATGACCCAAATCCGAAGGGACACACTCTTGCCGTGCAGATGAGCCCATACATACCTGCAAGTTGATGTTGATGTTGATGTTGATGTTGTTGTTGTTGTTGTGGGTGGGTGGGTGGGTGGGTGGTGTGGTGGGTGGGTGGGTGGGTGGGTGGGTGGGTGGGTGGGTGGGTGGGTGGGTGGGTGGGTGGGTGGGTGGGTGGGTGGGTGGTGGGTGGGTGGTGGTGGGTGGGTGGGGTGGGGGTGGGTGGGTGGGTGGGTGGGTGGGTGGGTGGGTGGGTGGGTGGGTGGGTGGGTGGGTGGGTGGGTGGGTGGGTGGGTGGGTGGGTGGGTGGGTGGGTGGGTGGGTGGGTGGGTGGGTGGGTGGGTGGGTGGTTGGTTGGTTGGTTGGTTGGTTGGTTGGTTGGTTGGGGTGGGTGGTGCTGGGTGGTGGTGGTTGGGGTGGGTTGGGGTGGTTGGGGTGGGTGGCGCTGGTTGTGGTGGGTGGTGCTGGTTGGGGTGGGTGGTGCTGGTTGTGGTGGGTGGTGCTGGTTGTGGTGGGTGGTGCTGGTGGTGCGGGTGGTGCTGGTGGTGCTGGTGGTGCTGGTGGTGCTGGTGGTGCGGGTGGTGCGGGTGGTGCGGGTGGTGCTGGTGGTGCGGGTGGTGCTGGTGGTGCGGGTGGTGCGGGTGGTGCTGGTGGTGCTGGTGGTGCTGGTGGTGCGGGTGGTGCTGGTGGTGCGGGTGGTGCTGGTGGTGCGGGTGGTGCTGGTGGTGCGGGTGGTGCTGGTGGTGCGGGTGGTGCTGGTGGTGCGGGTGGTGCTGGTGGTGCGGGTGGTGCTGGTGGTGCTGGTGGTGCTGGTGGTGCGGGTGGTGCTGGTGGTGCGGGTGGTGCTGGTGGTGCGGGTGGTGCGGGTGGTGCTGGTGGTGCTGGTGGTGCGGGTGGTGCTGGTGGTGCGGGTGGTGCTGGTGGTGCTGGTGGTGCTGGTGGTGCTGGTGGTGGTGCTGGTGGTGGTGCTGGTGGTGGTGCTGGTGGTGGTGCTGGTGGTGCTGGTGGTGCTGGTGGTGCTGGTGGTGCTGGTGGTGCTGGTGGTGCTGGTGGTGCTGGTGGTGCTGGTGGTGCTGGTGGTGCTGGTGGTGCTGGTGGTGCTGGTGGTGCTGGTGGTGCTGGTGGTGCTGGTGCTGGTGACTGGTGGTGGTGGTGGTGGTGGTGGTGGTGGTGGTGGTGGAGTTCTTTGTGTTGGCGTTGGTGTCGCTGCTGCTGGTCTGGCTGTTTTTGGAGAAGGCGTTGGCAACGCTCGCGTCTCGAATGCACGGAGGAAGCCGTGGGTGGGGAGAGATTGTGGCTTGGGTCCAAAAAATCTCTTGAAATGTGCTTGTGAAAGCTCGGAAGGTTTCGTCTCTATCTCGCAACTAAAGGCAGTTAACCCACCAGGAGCTGCAGTGATGACACTTTGCCTGTATGTTTGTCAACTCCAGCACTGGTGTTTTGTATTTTGACAGATAACGCCTTTGTTGCCGAAGGGAACGAACGCAAGGAGGCCTTACATCGATGCATCCGCTTGTGGTCCGACACCCTAAAAAGGAAAGCAATAGGCCCAGCCAGCTCCAGCTGCTGTTTGTGAGAGGTGTGCATCTCCTTACTCAGAGTCTCAGAGGAACTCTCAACACTGTCACGGCACGTTTCTTTGCGGCTCGACCTCTCTCTCTTTCTCTCGCTCTCTCTTTCTCTTTCTCCCAAATCGCAGGGCGCTGAATTCGATGCCCAGAGAGGTTTGCAGATTCAGATTGAGGCGTACGCATCGCCTCAGCCGCTCAGCCCTCAACTGCTGCAGGTTCGGCCATGGGAAGTGAGCCGCAGCGGCAGGCGCGGCGTATGTTGGTGCGAGCCTGGGCGTGACATGAGATACATGAGCAACTGGCACGACTATTGGTAGTTCACAGTTGGCTTGGGGACGACTTGGGGGGCATAACCCGAAGTTCCCACAAAATCCAGGGGGACAAGCATGTCTGGGGAAAGAAGGAGTTGCGCATGGGCGTTTTTATAGGAACCTCCATGAATGTTGAGTTCCTTGTTCTTTGCTCTTGAAAGGTGTCGAAAAGAGCAGTGTGGCTCACATTGAACAACGGTCAACATTCACTATCATCCGATGTAGGAACAAGAATAACAGGTTTAATGGCTCAAACTTAGCCGAGAAGATGAAAGCAAGCACGCCTTCTAGGGCGTATCGAGCCTTTGGCACCTTACTCATGGCACATGGGGGGGGGTTCTGCTTTGGGATGGCACTGACGGGGGGAGTGCGCCAGCTGGTTGTCGCGGGGCGAGCGGATCGACGGGGAGAGGCGTCGCAAAAGTGGGAAAGCAGCTCGTGCACAGAGATGATGCTCAAGGCAACCGCCGTCACCAATTTGGACAGCCGGGGCAAACACTCCTTCGTCATCGTGTTTCAGGTGCACGTCATGGCGGACTAGCACTTTTCTGTGTTGGCCTGGGGCAACACGGAATCTGCAATCCTGGAGGTGAAGGCAGAGGCAAGACACGGAGCACGCACGTTCCGTATTTGAGGCTGGCGCGTTCGTTGACAGCTGTCCCCAACCCAGTGGCCCAAGTGGTCCGTTCGGACCCGCGAAAGCATCGCTGGCAATGCGAAGGTGGCCGCAGCCACTGTTCCAGGCCTACGAGACGAGCGGCTTCAAAAAAGCTTCAGTTCGTGGCAATTGTTTAAGGCTTTAAGGATTTCTAAGTGACATCCAGTGTGTTCCCTCCGGCCAGACCAAGCCACTGCCGATGGGAAGTCTAACCG